AGAAGTTACTTTTCTCTTTATAAGGGATTATTTTCCACATAAGTGGATTAATGCCACAATTTGTTGCAAGCTTGAGAATGCAAAAAAGACTGGTCATAAATATGGTCATTTTTTGAAATACTTATTATTCTTCTGCCTGTTCCGTCTCTTAATAACATATAAGCGGAATATGTAGTTTGCAAAAAAGTATATTTCTATCTGACTTATATTTCATAAGGCCATCTTTACATAATTTCACGGTAACATATATGACAAAGTTTGCTTTTGCGCAAGGACAGCTGTGCGGTAAAACAAAATTTCCGACTAAATTTTGTTACTGCATTTTGTGCAAAAACCTCCAAAGGACAGCTAAACATAATTTTCAAAACTTAAATTCTTGCTTGTTTCTGATAATAAATGCGATTCCTTAGAATTGGCTTCACTTCCATTTGATCTACTTTGCACAAAAATCTTCCAGTTCTGGAAGGGATTATTATTCCAATTTTTTACTTTCTCTAGAATTCTTCCATAGCACATTGGTAAAACGTTTGGTTCTGTCGAAATGTGTTTAAGTAAAAACGTACTCACGAGTTAGCCAAAATTAGTGCCTATTTCGTTACATAACTTCAACTAAGATGACAGTTTTCCCAACCAAAGCTCTTCTTATTATTAAATCCACTTAGTTGATCAAAATAACCTTCCCAAATATATGCTAAACTACCAAGTTAAATTTTGCCATTAAAAAATTGCTTGCAGAACTTGCCATACTGTGATCGGTATGTATTTTGACAAGTAGGTTATCCATTAATTTTATCCTCATGTAAAGCGGGCTTTTCAGGCGGTGTCGGCATTTACACCCTCCTTTGATCCGTAGATATCATGTTGTCCTAATTTTAAGAAGCTAGGTATTTTCTTCTTACAAAGTCTGCCGACGCCGTGTGCTCCAAAATTTCAATGTTAATTGTTCGACAATGTGCATAAGTGTCCAACTTTCTTAAGGGAATCCCAGCACGTGTTTACAAAATAACTTAGAAGATATTGACACTTGTTGATGAACGTTCACCAGACTGCTAACGGTGATTCGCTAAGGTGAACATTCATCAACGAGGGTCAATGTCCTCTGACCTAACCCGGCAAGACAACGAGCTAGCGACTCAATGGTTAGGACGTTTGACTCCGATCAAGTAGGTCACGAGTTCGAGATTCGGGTGGGACGGAACTTTGGTCTGGGTATGACTGGCTGACGACGACTAATAAGCCAGTAATGGTCATTCCAGTCTCCCTTGCGTTTGCCGGCAACATTATCTACATAGCTGAAACAGTTACTGAAAAATGGGTCAAGAGCTTGAAGGTGATGTGTATCCCGGCCAGGAGTGTCGTGGTTGAACAGTGTAAATTGACTTGCCAAAATTGAACTAGTTTTCAAGTTTTATGACCTAACTTTAGGTCAAGAAGTGACGGCCTGAATGCGGAGTGGTTGATTTAAACTGATTTCTGCGATTAAGAGATACCAGGTGATAAGGCAAAACACTTTGGAACCTGATGGCGTTTGTGTGAGGAAGTGCTACTTGTAGACAAATACGCAGCATCATAATTTATATTGCATCGGCTCGAGGTTTTCAAAACTGGGCCAAGTGAATGATTCAAATCTGTTAAGTCCCCCCCCCCTACTAGTTAAGTTGATTTGGTGAGGATCTGGGGGATAATAGATAAATTGGTATTTGAAAGGCTGTTTGGGCAGTCAGCTTACCCTATTATAATTGGTAGATTCAATACGTTGTAGTAAACTAGAAGAGTAAATTAACGCAGACGTGATCACACTCAAAGATCCCGTTGCGGGTTTTGTAACTGAGTTGGCTACAACGTTGGCTACATTAAGTCTTCTCCCTGCTGGCGTGAGTTCAAATCTTGCCGGGGTATTCAAACCTGGACCAAAGGAGTTATTCAAAACTGCAAACCTGTCTGTCTAATTTGTATTCCCTTCGAGCAACACCTACATTTAATCCTAACACTAATGCAAACGTTAAACCCCAACGTTAACGCCAACCCAAAACATTAAATCTGCCTTTATTTGCTTCAAACGTAAAGACACTGTTAAACCAGGACCCATATATATCGTAATCAAGAAGTTAATGCAATTAAAGGCCCATATGAATAGCTCATTGGATGTTTACCTCATGCCTCAAATAAACGTGTAAGCAGGCATGGTTAACAGTCGAGAGGAAAACATAAGGTTGCGTGGAAAAAATAAAAGTAGTTTTGTTGCTCAAATTCACATCAACCACCTAATTCCTCAACAACCTTTACCTCATATCTATAAGATAAGATAGATGCATCCAATTCTCTTACTCTTACTATGCAAGTTTTTGAAAAATCTAGTGAAAGGTCCAATGAACTGAAAATGTCAAGCCTTATGATTCCATTTATGGAGAATCACCCACAGAACTTGGCTAAAACAGTAACTATTTGGGATTAACTGTAAGCAAACAGTGACGTAGTTGTACGCTCCATGTCAAGAAGAGAGTTTGCGATGACTCTGCCCCGTTTATAACTCGTTGCGTATGCTTAAGTAACACATTAAATGGAGAAAGTGTTTTTTTTCTAATAATGCACGCAAGTCAAAATGCCACAACCCTTTTGGACTTCTTTATCCCGCATTTCACGAAATAAAATGATTAACGCTGGTGACAGTTTGAAAGGAGTACATTGGACTCTTAAGTGCGAAAATCGTTTTTAATAGCTTATTACATGAAATGCGATTTCCGTGAAACCAAGTCAAAAAAGATACTTCGAGATATAAGAAACGGCGTGCAATGTTCTCTACACAATGCAGAAATATATATATTAATAAGATATTTAGAGGAAAGTTCATTGTTTCCACTCAAATAATTACAACTTAGACATCACAAAGAAATAAGGTTTACATCTCTTCATATATCAGCAAGAATCCTAGAATAGAGACCGGAGAAGAAATCCATATACAGAACTAAAATTTTAGCGAAAATAGTAAGTCTATTTTAAACACACCTGTAAGACATAAATCCGGGATCATCAGCATCGATTCCGACGGATACGGGGCCTACGGCTGCAACAGCCTGTTGAAGAGCTGATTCACTGCCCCGGGAAATATCCTTGTAGGCAGTTATTTTGGCAATAAACAGGGACTTGTTATATTTACACCTGTCATCCTGAATAAGGTAAAACGCGTGAGCTGAAATGCTTCTTTGTTCCTCTGTTTTCAATAAGTAGAATAGTTTAAAGATTATACCTCCAACAAAACTCTGTGAACTCTAAACAAACTTCGAAATCCTCTCTTGAACTGAATTGAGACAAAATGGTATTACACTTCACACTTTAGCTTCATTGTCAACTGGCGTCCTTGTACCTCTGAGAGAAAATTTCAACTCATTGAGGGCAGGACACTGAAACGGGATCCCTCTCGTCCAGGATTTTACTTAAAGTTCCATGGCGACTAGCGTTAGTGTTAAGGTTGGTCTAAGGTTTAGGGTAAGAGTTTGTTCTAATGTTAGGCAAAGGGATATTACTCCATAATGTTCACCATTCATTAGATTTTTTTGTAAGGTTACGCGCTTTTTTCGGGTGGCGGGTTATCTGTTCCTGCCTTATACGTATTTTGATTGAGGATAACCTGTCTGCTATAGCATTCCTCGTTTTTATCAGCATGCTGTTGTAAGCTAAGTACTTGACATATCAATTTCCCATCTTGGAACACGCACAGCGGATATTGAAACTGCATTTGATTGGTTCTTTGATTATTCAAAATAAACTGAAGCCCACGTTTTGAATAATGCTGCACCATATTTATAGTTTTCTAGCCCCAGGTTAAACGTACAAAGCGGAAATAAATTACGATGACTAATCAGATGGGTCAATCCAACTTGCAGCAAATAGACAAAAAGGACCAATTACTGGCGGAGACCTTCGGTGAGCTATTCAGCATTCCTATTTACGGGATTATTTGGCAAAATTAAAAACGGTTTCGAACTCTTTATTAATTTGGATGCACACAAGATAATGTGGCCAAGTAAGAGGTATTCACAGACCACTGTGTTACCAAAGAAGAGTCGTGAGGCAAACGAAAATATGCTGAGAGAAAACACAGTTTTTCGTCTGTAAATTGAGATTCCTAGCCTTTAAAGTTACTAAGGCAAAGCAATGAGTGTGGAAGGAGAATAAACTTCGACCATTTGCGCAAAAATACGTGTTATAGTCCGCTACGATTTATATTGAGTCGAAAAGTATTGTACCATTTCCCTTATTCTTGATTTACAAAATTGGATTGTCGTTAGCGACATGAAGTACAGTATACATTATGAAGACATCGTTCGATAGAGGATTGCTATATGGATACACTGTAGCATTTTACAACTTCTGCATATGCGTAAACCCCTTGCAAGCGGAAAATAACCGATAGGCGCTACTACATTTGTTCAAAACATATTTTGCAAGCCACCGCTTTATAATATTTGTTCCAAATTTTTCCATGAAACGATGTCTACTTCTCTGAAATATTCAGTAGCAACCCATAACGTCATTGAAGGGTTGACAAAGATGTCTGCTGGTATAACCATTACCTTTTCCATGTATTGATAGACAATTTTAGGTAAGCAAGTCAACGCTTCCAAGTTAAGTCTGCAAGCAAAACACGGAACACCTTCACTTATAAATTTTAATAGGAAAACACGAGTGTTCCCTGCTGTTAACTTTAAGGAAGACAATGGATATTCATAAACATCAGCAGAATCCTATGCAAGGTAAAAGTAAAAACTTCTGCATGTTAGTCTTACCCTTGCCGTGTAGTTGTACGTGTCCTCAGATTGGATTCCATACTTCATTACATATTTAAAAGCCCGATTCATAAGACCACCGTTGCATCCGTGGTTACCCTGCTCCCGACTGCAGTCGACCAGCTGTTGTTCTGAGAGGTCGAGTAACTTGTGGGTCTTTATTTGAACTGCACCCTCAATGGCACCGGTTGCAGAGAAGGCCCAACAGGATCCACACCGCCGCTGTAAGGTAAAATTTAGCATACGTTTGCAAATACTACAATTTTGGCGTTAATAGTAGTTAAATGCATATAAACTTAGACAATACTTAAAGGATATATGATTTGGGTTCAAAGTAATCTTAGCTTTTGACATGGAATCATATGAGCTGACAGCCATGAGAGTTCAAAGCAAACTTTGTGAAGTTAGCAGTATACAACCATCAACGCCCACGATACTAGCAGACTTCTATCCCTTTAAAGTGAATTTCAGTGTTTGCGGTTCTACACAACCGTTAAGATAGGTAATGAAAAACAAATAATCTCGGCGTAGCTGTACCAATAATAGCAAACTCGAGACCGCTTTACGTTCTCTTATTCCACTGACGTCTTATCAAAAGAACCCAGTCGATAAGTTATGGCAGAAACAAATAAAATACAAGCAGCTTCATAGAAAAACAAAATTATCCTTCTGAGCATCAATGAGTTGGAAAATCCGCTGCTTATTTGTTTTAAGATTGAAAATCTGACCTGGTCTTTAACTGGTGTGACTGCGCCCTTCTTGCGCCAGTCGATACCAGCAGGAAGTTTTCCATCGAAGGAGATGAACGCATCCGACTGAGTTTTTCACCTGTTTTCCGCCATTCTTTGCAGACAGAGGTATTTGTCGGCGAATTCGCGCGGTTTGAGGTCACTGAAAGCATTTGCTCCAACTTGGTGGGTTTCCGGACCACGTTAAAATCTTCTATTATGTTGAAATATAAAGTCAATATTTCTGAAGAAGATGTCTTGCCGGTGCTGTTCCTCGACGGGACTGGCATAGGCCTTGTTGTGTTCTTTCTTCCATATGTGCCAGAATGCTTTCAGTATATATGCCTCGCTAGTAGTCCATCCCGCACACACAGACAGGAACGGTAGAAAACAAGCGAAGAACAATAAAGCATGCATGGTGTCGGTCGATGCGTTATGTTAGCTTCATACGGCAGGAACACATATTGTTTATACTTATCTATAGACGTAGTTGTGTTGAAGTCAAGTACCTAGAACCAGTGAGAGGACATTTTAGAAGTGGTTGAACTGCTTACCAAACGACTGGCCAAAGCGTGAACTATGTGAGCGCCTGCGCATGCGAAAAAACAGTCTTCATCCTGAGACTACATGAGTGTAAAACTGTCTGCAGATACAGAGAATGCCTAATTTGGAAGTCTGCAGCGTGTTCGCAGTCAATTGCTTGGACTGTAGCAAAATACCTTTCATTTTTATGCATCAATAACTGACATTTGTGTCCGGACATGTCAGCCACTGCACCCGACTCGCCTCCAACCTGCTTGTCTCTGTCTTGACACTTGGCTCAGATGGGTGAGGGAGGGAGAGTGCCATCGCAGATCTACTGTCATCTAACACGAATGCATTCGCATTTCATCGTCCCTACGTCAACCTGTTTTCGACCATACAATTGACCTTGTCAAAATTAACGGTTGAACTTACGGAAGTCCAAATTACCAAATATAAAGTGTCAGCTTTCCCCCGTCTTGTGGCCAAGGTAGATGTGAATAGTGATGACAAATAAACCAGAAGTGGTTATTCTGTGTTGATCAAAAGCCTCAAAATAAGATATCTATCAAGCGCGTTTACCTAAGTTGGGAGATTTGTGACATTCTTTCTAATGCACCTGGTTGCCTGGGTCATGGTATTAGAATCACCCAAACATGTCAACTCATTGCCGAGAAAAAGGAACGTCTGCAACATTACTCACAACATTTCGTGTCTGAAATCAATTAATAAACTTTCTATAAAAACTTATCTCGTAAAAAGTGCTTTATTTAGACATTTAGACCTCAACTATCTCCGTACTTTACCTTTATCGAAGAGTAGGTCAAGGCGAAAATCGCAAAATGTGCCGGTTTTCTGAGAAATGGGAATAAAGTTTTCGCTGAATATGAAAGAATTAACTTTTCTATATATACTGGAGCAGTTTTCAGTATACATATTTACATTAACATCCAGTTCAAAGAGTGGCGGAATATAAACTACGATTCTTTGAGAATCGAGAATCTTCTAGATGTTCCGTTTCAAATTTCCTTATTCTTTTACACTGTACTATAGCTAAAAAAACTTTGCACAACTTTTGCCTATGGCTTGACGAAGAAACGTGACACCGTGTTTCGGGTGCTCACATCCATGCTTGTTTACCGTCCGTAGTTTCCGGCTGGTAAAACAGATTGCAGCCTTTTAACCTTAGTAATTAATTCTATGGCAAAAAATGTGGCAGATTTGCAGAACAGAATTTTCCAAACTGGATCCGCTCTTCATTTCCTGAAAACAATGCATTATGTCATATTGGCACTTACCTCGATTTCATAAAAGCAAAACAACATGTTTCGTGCTCTAACAAGATATATTTAAAACTGTTCGGGTTTTTTTTAATATCCTTTTGATGTACAACATGCACAAGACAGAAGATTTGGCTCGCAGCTTTTAATAGCGTAGGAACAAGCTTGGATATCAAAAAAAATGGATTTCGTCGAATTCAGCGCATATTTTCCCTGGATAGACAACAGAAATGAAATTTTTCTCTAGTAAACAGTTCTTTGCTCCTCAGATCAATTCGGTGAATGAAATAACCAAAGTGAAATGTATGTTGAACCGTGTACCTAAATTTTGATCTTCACATTTCAGCAGTTAAGCAATCTACTGTAGATCATAGAGAGAAAATTAAGGTTGCGCTGCACTCTCCTCCCCTCCCCCAAATAGGCACAGTTTCAAGACAAAGGCAAGATGAACGGAGGTGGGAGAAGGCACAGATGGTTGGCGCGGCCTTCCTAGGTGGGTCGCCATGCCAGGCTGGGATCCTACGGACTGGGAGTGCCATAGAGCCCATGTACAGAAGGAGCCATTGCAGCCTGACTATCAGTTCTTCAGTCGAATTTTCCACAAGCACACATACTTGGCTGACTGTGCGGTCCGAGTTATCCCCGTCAGTTGGCAACCTTGCAAGCCACGGGTTTTGGAACCCTGTGCTGGCTTCAGCTCGGTCAGCTGGTTTATAATGACTCGCCTACAACTACGGAGACCGCAGAGGGGACGAAGGTTACGTAAGCCTGCTAGCAGCTAATATCCGGGAGGCAAAATATAATCGGAAACGAACGGGAAGGTCAACGTTTTTGTGTCGAGTACGGATATAATACGAGGCAGACGGCAAGGCTGGCCAACTCTAGACCGCCAGACGTAGAAACTACAATATCCTGAGGATGGAAGCGAGAAGGTGTTCTGAAGCCTCTGTTCAAATATAATTTGGTCTTCAAACCCGCCCCCCGTTATTCTTCCTCATCTGTGGGAGGCGATGAACGCGAGAATTCAGTTTATATTTAGGAGATAGGCAGAGCCTTTGAAAACACTTTTGCCGAATGGATATCGTCAAAGCATGCATATGTATTAAAGCCATATATTGACATTATATTAATCGTTATTGTCTAACAACTGGATGACCAGCAAACAAAGTATGACCGAGTCTTCTATAAAATGCGCAAACGCTTTCAACAAGAATAACTGAAGAAGGAAGTTTTTTCAAGTCTTCAATGACCCGGGGGGAGAAGTTGGCCTACACTTCTAGTTTGGCGTGGTGTTTCGTCGGTTCAAACGGATGACCTCGGAGACGTGTCGTTTTTGCCAATTAAAAGAAATCAGCCATTTGAAGTGAACACTCTACATTCCCTGACGAATACCATGATCAAATCTCTTCTGCTTTGCCCGTAATAAAGAGGAAAAAATGCGAGCCTTCCTAGTCGATATTCAATGGTAGATCTCCTCAGCCGCATACTAATTTGGTCGCCATTCGTTTAATTTTCTCCACTGCTGAGTAATCTTGCTTCATCCAGGAGCACCACGCCTGGCGCTTCAGCTCATTAGTACTTGCTTTTTGTTTCCACGTACGTCATAACTTTCAGCTACTTAGATTCTAGTTTTTATCAAAATTGTAAACCTTCTTTGTAGCAAAAGTAAGCTTTGGGTATTATCCTTCTTTGAATCCGTTGCCTGGAAAAATGACAACTATCAGTATGACTACGGCCGGCACATTGGTTAGACGCCCAGTGAAATTGCCATTCCTTAAAAACCCACCTCAATGATTATTGTATTGTCGGAAGTCTGGTGTGGTCTTTTTCCTACCCCGGCCTGACCTTCGAAACAAGAAGGCTAGACTGTTATCAAAACAACCATAAAAACCGCAAAGTGAAAGTGAAAAAGGTATATTAGAATCATATGAACGTACTCTATATAAACGTAAGCATGCGTTTAGCTCGCGGCCGTGGCGATTCCGCGCATTCTATGTCTGTTGGGAACCTCCTTTTTCTATCCTTAGTTACCTATCGAGCTTTATGTATTTGCGTGGCCTATTCTCTTAAAAATACGTTTGTAATGTTTTAGTTATACCTTGATGTTTTTCACAGGAATTACGTGGAATGTAAACAGTCGACCACCGGATGATAAGAAACCTTGGCTTATGACTGTGCTGCTTGCTTTGAAATTGAGATGCAGATGGTCTAGTCTTTTCAACAGGTAGGGGGTTACATGCTATGATGATCGTTAGCTGCCAATGTTTACCTTCTTCATATTAGACCGTACTGCGAGTAGGGAGGAAATAAGTTTTATAACAGACTCTCTGATTGGAGAAATGTCGTTTCTAGCAAGGGTTATAGCCCAGTTTTATACCGAATACGGACTTTGAAATGTTTGCCCATAATTAGCCATTAATTCTTACATGTCAGTCAGAAGTAGGCTAATTGATAAGATATAACTCCAAAATTACCCTGTTATGAAATTCCTCTACTTTCCGACAATCGTCGAGATTGGTTTGTGCCTATCTCGTCTTCCGCTATTGCATGCTAGCGCGGAAAACAAATACGATATACTGCAAGCAAATCGACGTTAGTATTTTCATAGTGAAGGAGAAGAAGGTCCGTGAGAACTTTGAGATAATAACCCTCTACACATACATTTAAACCATTGGATAGCTGGAGGCCGTAGCGATCCCGCACATGTTCTCTTTGTTGCGGGCCATTTTTATATATCCGTCATCACCCCAAGAGGGTCCCCAGCTGTTCTTCACTAGCCAGTAAGGCAGATTATCCTCTGTACCATAGCCAACAACCAGTACTCCGTGAATAGGCATCCATGGTCTAAACCAAGTACTGGTATATACGCCGCGGCTGAAAAAGAGAAGACATAAAAATAAGCTTTCACAAACCAACGCATCAACCAGCCTATTACATAAAGCGGTAAATTGCTATGTTAGGTGAGCTATTTATTTCGATTTCGAATTATGTAATCACACACACATGAGACTCCTTTCTACGTATTGTTTTAATCAAACAAACGGCTTTGAAAAAAATTAAAAAGGTGCCGTTCCCCATACTTTTATTTTGAACATATTATTTTCGAAAATTTAGTAAACGGACGAACAACGGAGAGAAACTAGCATTGGTTAAAGATCTTATTACATATCCTTCAGATAAAGAACTTTAAATATTCAAACTGTAAACAACTTCGGTTATTATTTCGTAGTATATCCCACTCCTCTGGTTACTAAATACATCGCAATTCCCTTTATGTACATGTTTTTCGTGGCAAATTAGTATACGCTGCCGTTCGCTAGAGCCTCAATCGCGATCCCCGGTGAGGGCGTTTTTATTTAGAATTGATTGATATAAGATGGAGTTTTTAAGGACTATGGGTACTCTGGTACATGACAAGGTCTTTAGCAGAACCCGTGGTTGACAGTCAAACACTACTCTCTGACGCCCCCGTTCACTGCCTCAAAGTATGCAACTTCGCAGCGAGCGCCTTCCAATT